GCTCAGCATTAAAGAAACCGACTTAACCAACACAATATCTTCTCAAAAGACAGGCCATAAGCAAGAAATGTTGTCATCCTGCTACTTTTCACAAGTTTTTTTTGCACTTTTGTCAACATGTTTTATTTCGTAATGCATTTATTTTTCTTTCAGAATGCCACTTTTAAGTTTTAAGTCAGTGTCCACTTTGTCTTTTTCTTTTTTAATAAGAGCATTCAACTACATAAGGATAATCACCTTTATTGGCCAAGTATATTACACACAAGGAATTTGTTTCCGGTACAGAACCGACGGCTCTAACCAATGGGGGGGTTCAGTGTCTTGCCCAAGGACACTTCAACAAGTGGACTGCAGGCACTGAGATTTGAACCTTCAACCTTCTGGTTGGGACACAACTGCTCTACCCACCGCACCACTGTTGCTTCCCCATCTAATGCTCTTTAGCAGAAGATCAAGCTGGTGACCCAGTTTTCATGGAGGCAGTTGAGCTATCATAACCCAAGTGTGGAACTGTGGCTACTTTAAGTACATCTGTACAATGTAACAATTCAATGCAACAGCTCTGCCATGAATTCTACCTTCACAAGGTTTACAGTACTGAACTGCATTTTATCAAGATGTTACTAATTTTTGTTTTTCATATTTGAAAACATGAGAGGGACACTCAGGATCACCTCTGCAGTGTTGGAAAGTAACTGACTAAATTCAAAGAATTTTGAGGTATTGGAGTATTTGTATTGAGTATTTGCATTTTCTGCTACTTCAACTTTGCTACTTTTCAGCAAGTGGCTGACCTTTTCACTACTATAATGGGAAAAATGAGAAATATGGGTTAATACCACTTCTGCTTATTGACAAAATATATTCTTAAATCAACACAAAGTTACATCTGGCATATTTTAGGTGAGCAAACACTTTAATAATGAATTTTACCTCCCTACAGCAGGCTCTGCAAATTCCACAATAACTAATGTTAGCCATTAGTATAACACCTCTGAATCTCTTAACTATGTGTTTGAGTTGAATTGTGGGCAAAGTAGACACCAAGATTTTGACAATAGGAATAGACAACTCTGATTCAGTTTGGTCAGTGGATTACTTTCATCATGGCCATAATGAGCATGCTAGCACAGATATTCATTTAGCTCAAAGCACCACTGTACTCAAGTAAAGGTTGACAGAGCTGCTAGTATTGATATGGTCTTTATTATTGAAAACGCATGTAAAAGCATTATTTGGAGTCATTTCTGCAATGTGCAGTTTAGGTTATTAGGCCAGAAGCTAGGCTAATGATCTGATCACATTGAGCTATGATTTCACAGAACTGCTTTCTATCGCATTTAAAAAAAAAAAGATTAGAATTTTAAATGGCTTCTGATTAGCTATAAAGCCCCATCAGAAATGACAAGGTGAAAAACCTACCTTGCAAACTTAAAACAGTTGCATGTCTAATGTAAAGAAGTTCATGTTCCATTACATCTATAATTGTAAAAAGCATAATAAGTCATGATGAAGCATCCAAATGTTACTGCTCATCTTTTATTTAACATTAGGCACATCAAGGGACTGCTTCCATCTCTCCACAGTAGTCCATTAGTGCAACAGTTTGGCCTCAAAGTGTTCAACACCATACCCACCACCCGGAACACAATCTTTCCTTTCTCTGCTTCAAATTCACTCACAGCAATGAATGCACAGGAGCCCACCATCAAGCAAAGAGCAGGTAGTATTCGATTAACTCATTCAATAAGTTGGCCATTCATTCACATCATTGGTCGCTTTACAACTGCTCAGTCACCCAAAGCAATTCAGAAAACAAAAAGGCACAAATTCATAACATTGCATTAAAGTTCTCACTGAAATCAGTGACCTGTGGGCTGAACAGATGATGTACTACAGGATAATTAACAGCATGACAACATGTGATCAAGGCCCAGTTATTTTATTAGTCACATGGCGTGCCACCACCATTAACTACACATTCATGGGGAATCAGGTACATTTGCTAGTTGTCAAGTAGTCATATTTCCCATTTCATATGTAGATAATGGTTGTGATACAGATCACAAGATTTGGCAACTGACAACCTATGGGACAAATGGGCTTTCTGGTGAAAAGGGCACTGGCATGCAGCCTGATCACACTAGTGAAATGTCAGTTTAATCACCATTTAGTGCAAAGCAAACAGTCCACACATTAGGAGAAAAAGGACACTTGGTTGACAGTCGTTCAGTCCTGGTACAGCATGAAGCCAGAGAAGGTGCTATACTTCCAGGTGCTGCCATAGATTGCACCACGATGCAACCGGAGCCAAACCTGGTCTCCTTGGAAAAGAGGTAGGATGGCGTGGTTGCTGGCTGTTTCATGATCTGGGGCTCCATCGTTGGCATATGCTGAAACCATCACATCCTCATTGCGCATGAGGTTGATGTAGAGCGGCACGTTGATGGCGAGCTTCAGGATGTGGAAGATGAAGACATAGGTTCCATTGATAGGGCACGTGAAGCGCCCAATATGAGTGTCATACATCTCCCCTAGGTTGCTGTGCAGCTGGTCAAACACAATTGGCTGGTCCAGGTTACCCGGGGCAAAGTTGGCTGTGCGAGAGGCGGTGAAGGCCACTCGTAGTGGCTGGGAGAGTGGGTAAAGTTGCATGGGAAGCAGGGTAGTGTGGGGGTGGCTATGTGGAGTAAGTGGAACCTCCAGAGTAGAAACTGACAGCGAATCCCCATGACCCGAGTCCACGACTGTGAAGGTTCCCTCCCGGTCTGGGCTGCTAACCTGGGATGAGTCACTCCAGGCTGTTTAAGAGCCAAGAGAAACAGTTAAATAACAGAATGCAGTGAAGGATATGGGTACTACAGATGTTAAGACATTTTGCAACCTGCTTTATTTAGTTCAGTTAAAGCAAACTGGTTCTCCCCTTGGTATGATTAGTTTAGACAATGTTACACAGCAATCATTGGCATTTGTACTAAACAATCAGTTAGTGATGCATTTTGTTTGCTTGAATTTTCTTCATGTGAAGCTGAACCAAGGGGAAAATGGAACAGGTTTACCAACTCATTAACTGAAATTGAGACCAATAATTTGGTGCTACAGAGAAACCATAAGCAGTACAAGACTACCAGACAGATGAGCAGTCCTTATAAGAGTAATGGTAAGAAAAGTCTAATGACACCCATTCCTCCCAGCTACCATCTTTAAAAAAAGTTTTGCTGCAAAATCTCTTCACTAAAGGGACAGATTGCCGTTTGGAAGTAGAGATTTACAGTTTGCATTCTTACCACTGGAGTTGTGCCTCCCTCCTCCACGTCTATAGCTGTGTTGGTATCCAGAGTCCTGAGAAAATACCACAGAGAGAAGTAAAATATGTGCAGACAAAGTAGCAAGACAGCACTGCACACAAGCATACTAATGTCTTGACTTGTGCTCATGTTTGTTTGGGTTACTGAGGGTAGGCTGATTCGCAAAACTGGTAATTCTACCATTTAAAATGAATCTACAATACAAAGTGTACAAAGAGGTAAACAGTCACTCTATACAACAATATATTGTATGAGAATGAGGCTTTAAAAAAAAAAAGCACCTGGGTTCCAGACTGCATATCCACTAGGCTTCTGTCTGCTTAATCTGGCTGTGAAATTTCCTCCTCTAGGAGAGGTTTTGACATGTTCAGTAGCTGCAAAGCATAAAGCTGCTTCTGATCCATGGTTATCTTTCAGGCAAGAGCAAAGTTCTTAGGCTGAATTGCCGTCTTTTGTTCTACAATGTTTTGTTTAATCTAAGCCACATAGGCATCTGAGCATATTAATTACAACTGCCATTTATGAAGTCAATGAACTGATTTTAAGTAGTTTTAGTGCAAAAGACATTACTGTTGCTCATGTTCTCACAATGCACACAGTGGATCAAAACCCAGGTGATAACATATTGTTATAGCCTTAATTTGGAAATCGAAGTTTTAAGTTCTTGCATATACTACATGATTTGACATGTACAGTATAGATTACTTATAAATGATTGTAGCTCATAGGTTTGCACAGTGAAGTCTTAGGTTAGTCCAATCTGTACTGTGTTCTACTTTAAATTTCACAGGAGGATCAGTAGATTTGGCAGGGACAGGATGGAGAATGAGGCCTGTTGAACAAAGGGCAAGGTGAGTGGGTGGTGTAGTCTGGGGGTCCCCCAAGACTGGCGCTGGTGGACAAACCATGGCTCAGTAGAGGCCCATTCTGTCCCAATGTAGAGCAACTTTGTCTTCAGGATGATAGCTCTACTCTATACACAACCTCACCTAGTCTCTTCGGGACCCTACAAGGCCCCACCCAGTCACTGTCCAGCTTGAAGCATCTGCATTTCTTCCGCTGGGGGTTATACACCCAGACCAGCTCCTTAAGTCTTAAGTGTCATCCTCTGGTGTGACCATCGTAGTTCCTCTGTCTTGCCCCTGTGCTCAATAGTTGTTTTTCGCAAACTTCAAGCAGTCTGTCAGCTTCCTGGCATAGTTGTGTAGCTAGCATCTGTGTCTAGGATGAAAGGCAGTGGACAAGAATGGGGCCTCCACAAGCACTGTTTGGGGTGACAAAAGCTAAGTGGCATTTTTCTGTCCATGAGAACTACTTCCCGTTCTGTAGCAGGACGAACAAGGCTGTTGCTATGCAGGAGACATCCCTCATGAACCTCCTATAGCAGGAACCAAAACCTATGAAGCTCTTCAGGTCCTGTACAGTCCTTCACAGCCTGCACCATTGTGTCCAAGATGCCCATGCTGCCACCACCCACTTCGTGACCTGACGTCACACGAAACAACATTTGTGAGGGTGGAGGTTCAACCTTACCAGTGCCACTCTCTCCAGAGCCGGCCTGAGAGCCTTGAGGGCTGGCTGGAGAGATTCCCTGTGCACAATCATGTCATCATGATACAGTACACAACACACTCTTTGCAGGGAATGTTTGCCAGTGCTTTGCACATCAGTCTCTCAAATGTGGCAAGATCATTGCAGAGGCCAAATGGGTGGACCTTAAACTGCCACAAGCACCTACTAGTGAAGAAGACTGGCTAGGTTTGGCTTCAGGAACAAGGGGCACCTGCCAGTAACTGCTACACAGGTTGAAGGATAAACCAGGAGGCCACTGTGTCAAGCAGCTCATCAATGCATGGGAGGGAGTTGAGGTCCTTTTTGGTCACCCTGTTGAGTGATCTGAAGTCCATGCAAAGCACCAGCCATCCTTCAGCTTTTTGGGGACCATGACAACCAAAGATGCGGGATGGCATGATGAGTCCAACCCCCTGCATCTTGCATAAGACCTTGTACACAGCTGCCTACTAGGCCAGGGGAAGGTGATGCCACAGCAGGCCCTGTTTGCTGGCTGTCAGTTTTTCTCCCAGACTCCCCTCATGACCTCCTTCCTGTCTTCATCACTAGGTAGTGTGGTTCAATGATGTATAGGGGAGGAGGCAATGCAGATGGAGTGACAGTGGAGAGGCAGTCACCAGCCACATGGAGTGTTGTCTCCATTGCCAGCACCAACTGTGTATGCCATGGGGCTGCCACGGTCGCTGAGGTATCCGGATGACATCTGTGCAGGAAGGAGAGAGTCTCTCTCCTGGTAAGAGTCCAGAGCCCAAGAACATCCAGTCCTAAGCCATATTCACACTGCAGGCTGAAGTGGCTCAAATCTGATCTTTTTGCTCAAATGTGACCCATATCTGATTTCCTTATGACAGTGTGAACAGCACAAATCCGATTTTTTTCAAATCCGGCCCAGGCCACTTTCATATGTGGTCCTAAATCGGATACGTATCCGATGTTTTGCAATGCAACTTCAGTCTGAACAGCCATGTCGCATTTCATGCGATTTTTATGTCATTGAAATGCGACAGACGTCACAATTCTGCGCTGGAGGAGGCGAGGCCATAACAAATATTTGTGCTCTCCTTCTTGATATTCTTATCATTTCTTTATTTCAATTGCACATTAACTGGTACATCGCTACGCACATGCTACCACGAGCCGCATCCATTTTTATTTTTGCAAACACGGT